ATTTGATCTGAGCATGTTTTCTCATAAATTATCAAACAGAATGAATCATAATCCAAAAATAAAAGAAAATAAATGGACTTGAGAATCACTAATCCTGAGACTATGGCCCTTAGACACCCTTCAAACCTGGAACCGAACTTACTGGCGAGATAACCTTTCAGGCAGACAGACAGGCCTATAATGTGAACAGTAACACCCGTGAGGAAAGTGCTCCTTAGAACAACCAACCAGACCAGACCAAAAGGGCTGCATTTGCAGCCCCCCCTCCCCCCCAAAAAAAAACAAAAAAGTTTAGAAGGCAGGAAAGGGCAGGAAACATGGCCAAATGGAAATGGGGAACCCAGGAAGGAAGGAAGTGGGTAGAGTGCTGTCACATTGACGGGATTGCAACTAATGTCATGAAACAAAATGTGTATAAACTGTTGAATGGGAAACTAATTTGCTCCATAAACTTTCACCCAAACCGCGATAAAATGTTCAAAACAACAACAAAGAATCAGTCATTTGGGAAAAAGATTAGTTATTAATACCAATTATTGAGTCAGTCAGTAACCAAGACACACTAACCAAGAATATTACTATCCTGTAATAATAACAGGAAGAGAAGCTACAAAGATGGAGAAGTGGTTTGTAACACTGTGAACTGTTCTATATAGAGGGACTTAATGGACTGAGGGTTAAATTTCTCAATAGTGGAATAAAATAAAATATTATAACATTGAACTTTCCCCAGAGAATTGTGAGGGAAGCTTTTAATTTAAATTAATGAAAGATGAGAAGCCTGGACAAATGACATGAGAGAAGAAAACTTTATATAGGCTATGAGCATCATATGTTTTTAACTCAATTAGAAGAGGTGGCCCTGAAAGAGTATCATATGTTGGGTCATACAGAAAGTAAGAGTCAGCTTCATGATTAAAAATGGAATGGCCCATTTCCTCTGCAGAGAGAAGAAACCCCGATCAATGGCCACACACCATACTTTACCATGGCTATATGTCCTGGACAATATGAATCAAACACTGCCACCGGGAAAAACGCAGCAACTTTCCATGGACCGAGCAAGCAGAATAATGCTGTGTAAAGTGTACAAGACTGAGCTGCAGCTCTCACCTGTGCTTACTGAATGAGGCATCCACCTTCTCCAGGTCTCAGTTCCTCCAACTTTAAAATAGGAAAAGATTTCCAATGTACATAGTATTTCTATACTTAATACTAGAAACACTAGTAGATGTGTGTGTGTGTGTGTGTGTGTGTGTGTGTGTGTGTGTACACATATATATAAAAACAAACCCGTTGCTGTCAAGTTGATCTGACTCATAGCAACCCTACAGGGCAGAGCAGAACTGCTCCATAGGGTTTCCAAGGATTCGAGCTGCAGACCTTTCGGTTAGTAGCCGAGCTCTTAACCACTGCACCACCAGGGCTCCATATATATGTTAAAAATGTCAAGAAAGATGTTAGCCAGGAACTCAGTAAATGCCCTACACTGACAAGTCAGGAAGCCCAGGCTCATTATCCTCAGGTCCACACAAACAGACCTGCTTTGCTTCGGGGTCTTCCTAAGTTATTAACACAAGAACAGCAAACAGCATTAATGATTAGGGGGAGGCTTGCGGCTAGTGAAAAGAAGGGAGAGCTGAGAGCAAGCAGAATTATCCCAAACCAGACCTCAGGACTAGAAAGCAGTGGTATGGGGTCAGCTGCCATAAGGGCAAACGCACTTAAACACCTTTATCACTAGTTATAGCATGGTTCAATACCTGCTATGTGTAATGATGACCCTCAGGCACCAGGAAAAAGTTAAATTAGGTTTACTGTACTCTGCTTACTATGACAAGGAAACACAGTTTAGGGCTATCATCATTTAAAAATATTTAAAATAAACTTAAGCTATCTGAGGGGGAGAGAAATCAGCCTATCTAGGAAATGTTGTTTCCTTCAGATGAGAGGTCACTAAAGAGCCCACTATTCTTCAGACATTATATCAGTGACATCCTCATACACACAACAGATAACAGGAGGCAATGAGAGCATGCCCTGTGAACGGGCTTCATCTGCTATTACCTCCTTTACAGAAACAAATGAAAAGCACACAGTGAACCCTTCATTTAACATAACTTTCAAGGCACCAAAATATTTCTGCCATTTAGAAACATGCCTACTTGGTTAGAATAACAGAAAATACTGCCCGGACAGAAATTAGAGTTTTATTTTTAAGTTAAAAAATTGGGTTATCCAATTAAAAAATGGGCAAAGGATATGAACAGGCACATCGCCAAAGAAGATATTCAGGTGGTTAACAGACAGATGAAGAAATGCTCACGATCGCTAGCCATTAGAGAAATGCAGATCAAAACTACAGTGAGATATCATCTCACTCCAACAAGGCTAGCATTAATCCAAAAAACACAACGCTGGAGAGGTTGTGGAGAGACTGGAACACTTATACATTGTTGGTGGGAATGTAAAATGGTACAACCACTTTGGAAATCAATTTGGCGCTTCCTTAAAAAGCTAGAAATTTAGAAGTACCATATGATCCAACTATCCCACTCCTTGGAATATACCCTAGAGAAATAAGAGCTGTCACACAAATAGATATATGCACACCCATGTTCATTGCAGCACTGTTCACAATAGCAAAAAGATGCAAACATCCTAGGTGCCTATCAATGGACGAATGGATAAACAAATTATGGTATATCCACACAATGGAATACTACACAACGATAAAGAACAATGATAAATCTGTGAAACATCTTATAACATGGAGGTCATTATGCCGAGTGAATTTAGTCAATCACAGAGGGACGAATACTGTATAAGACCACTGTTATAAGAACTCAAGAAAAGGTTTAAACACAGAAGAAAACATTCTTTGATGGTTATGAGGGTGGGGAGGGAGGGTGAGGGTTATTTACTAACTAGATAGT